ACGTCATCTGCTGATGTGGATTTAAGATAGGGTGTAGTCTCCAGTGAGCCACGCACATTAGCAGTACTCAGCGCGGCCTTGCCTGGGAGTTTAAAGGTTATGAAATCCACAGCAATGTTCTCTGCCTGTCCGCTCATTTCTAACTCTTGGCTATGACTGCTATTGGATTCTGGCAGCATCCTGAAGGGGAAGGGAGTGATGAAGTTAGGGACCAGTGCAAAGGCAACAGTTCAAACCATATTCTCATATTTTGCAGTTTGCCTTCCTTGTGGCTTGGTTTGCTCTTTAAAAAAAAAATTATTTATATTTTTAAGAGAGAGAGAGCACAAGCTGAGGGGAGAGGGGCAGAGGGAGAGGGACAAGTAGACTCAGTGCTGAGCAGGGAGCCGGACGCGGGGCTCGATCCCAGGACCCTGGGATCATGAACTGAGCCCAAGGCAATGCTTAACTGACTGAGCCACCCAGGCGCCCCCTGCCCCAACTTTTTGTTTAATGACTTGGCCGATCGATACACTGGACTACCTTATGTCTTTCTAAGCAGATCTCTGGGTATACAGAGGAGATGATATTAGGATCCTTTCTGAGTGTAAATTGCCTGATGTTTTTAAATGATATCCTATAAAAAATGCTTAGGTGGACTTAGTGTGTGCAAACGAATAAAATCAGTAAATTCAGTCTCCACCCTCTCCTGCAAGTGTTCACTAAGTCCTTGCTCCTGTGGTGGCTAAGGGCGATTCCCTTTCCCACCGCAAGGCTTCTAGGAGCCCTTGGCCTGTTAAAGCGGCTGCAGGAGGGCAGAGGGCCAGGGTCCAAAGTCAAGGAAGCAGCACTCCTGCGGGCGTCCTCCTTTAAGCAACCAATGACCTTGGGTGTGTCCTTGAACCTCCGGGAGGTGTATTTAAACTTGGAGCTAACTCTTCAGGGACCACTGTCCACTGAATTGCACACGGCCTGTCTACACTGGAGAAGTTCTAACGCTTACTTGCCCAGCCAGGCCGGGTGGCTCCAGGAGACGCAGAGGTGGAAATGACATTCCTCGTCTGGCTAATTCACTGCGGTCCCCGCTCAGCCCTCAGTCTCTTAAGAGGCTCTGAAGCCTGATTTGTCTGCATGTAGAGTGGGTCCACCTCTCCAGGGTGGACCCTCACAACTGGTCCCAAGAGTCTGAGGAGCAGAATCGGGGTTGTAAGGTACTCTTGCAGGGTGACAGGGTGAGGGGACTGAATGTGAGAGTCTGGTGAATGGAGACAGCCTGAGGCAGAGCCTCATCATGGGGCTGGGATGCAGGGTTTGGTGGCCAGGGGACCACACTGTGGGGAGTGCTGCCAGTGAATCCCGCTGGCGAGGCAGCTGCCTGTCAGATGGCCGGACCCCTCCCCCACACTGCTCTCTATCAAGTGTGACCTGGGGCTGAGGGTGGCTCTTCTGTCCCTTCAAAGCCAAGCTTATAAATCAGTGGTCTCTGGATAGAATTCAACTCAAGGTCATTTTTCGTTTGGCTTACGCATTTTTTTTTTTAAAATGGAATTAGGTGCCAACATTTCAAAATCAAGAGATTTCAAATAAATATCTATATTTCCAGCTTCTCTTAAAACCCCGCAGGTCCATTAAGACTGCGTCTGCATTCCCAGACGGCTCCCTTCGCTCCCTCTGCTTTCTATCTGTAGACATCAGGGGGTTGACGGCAGAGTTTAACTACCAGAGGCGATCTTATTTCCTTATTCCTGAGCCCCTGGGGCTGCTGCACCAGAGCCTCCCCACAGCCCACCTCCATTTCTAAAAGTGTCCTAATGATTTGAAGAAAACGCACGCCACAGATCATGATGAAAGACTTTGATTTTTAAAAAGAACTTAATTCAAAAAAAAAAAAAAAAAAAGAACTTAATTCCTCCAAGGCATGTTGTCCTATCCGGGGAACACATAAAATATTGCATACAAAATGTTGAGATTCCATTTCTAAAGAGCTCAGGACAGTACCTGGACACACCAAGTGCTCTGTGCATGTTGAACCAAATTTAATGTGTGGTCACAGGCATCTGAAAATGTGTGGCTTATAAAAGCTTTGAGGGGTGCAGCGGGGAAGGTGCTGGATCCCTGGTCTCTTGAGGACTGGGAGGACTACAGATCACGGGACCTCCCTCTGCCTTTAAAGTCCCAGGAATCCCAGTGGGGGTAAGCGCCAGCTAGCTGCTGGGCCTGGGGTCCCAGCCACTGTGCCCGCCCTGACTCACATCCGCGGGTCGCATGCGCACCAGGTCCCCCTCCAAACCTGCGCTCCTGGCCCGCCTGCCTTCCCCGTGGGCAATGTGTATCTGTTGGAAGCAGAGAGCTCACACAGGGTCCATGAGGAGCAAGCAGGTGTGAGAGGGTTTCCATGAGCCCCTGAGATGCTGGGCAAAATGTGTCCATGTGCATTTTTCAGGTACAGGGAATCATAGCTTTCATTAGATTTTCAAAAGCTTCTGACCCAAAGAAGCACTCATCACGGGGACATAGTCCTCCATGCCAGAGGTGCCCTAACCCCTGCCTCCGAGCTCGCCTGCAGGCACCATGGGCTAGCCCACGAAGCAAGGGCTACAGTCAGCTGGGCGCCATTCGTGCACTGAGGACGGCCAACAATGCTTATGTGTTGTTTTCATTTATACTATATGCAGGTTTCCAACAATTAATGTTTTACTTAAATATTCCACCCTTTTCAGGAATGGGCAAGCAAGCAGGATGTCCCAGAGCGCTAATGCAGCCCCTGGAGAAGCATGCTGAAACCAAGGTGCGTGTTCTCTGAGATTCTCGAAGGTCAGGGAACACTAAGCGGGTTTTCTTCTACCACCCTGAGCAACGGCCCCAGCACCACACACCTCCACCCTAATCCCTTCCCCTCTCCCATCTGTGAGGGAAAATTCCCAGAGAATCTTCTGTCCAGTGAGGAGAGTGGAGGGGAAAGCTGCTGTCCCGGGGGGTGGGGGGAAGGGGGACACTGCCCGAGTTTCCTGTGGCTGACTTAACAGAACCCAAGTAAAACATTGCAAACTCTTTGTCTCAGAGTTCTGGAGTCCAGAAGTCTGAAATCATGGTGTGGTAGGGCCATGTTCCTGTGAAGCCTGTACGGGAGAGCCCCTCCGTGCCTCTCCTGGTCTGGTGTGTCTGTCAGTCCTTGGCCATCCTTGGCTCACGCATGGGTCACTCCAGGCTCTCCCTGTCTTCATGAGTTCTCCCCATGTGCCCATGACCTGATTTCCCACGTCTTAGAAGAACATCAGTCATATTGGATGTAGACCCACCCCAGTGACCTCATCTTCACCTGATGACATCTACAAAGACCCGCGTTCCAAGTACAGTTACATTCATAGGTACCAAGGTTAGGACTGGAACATGTCTTCTGGGGGGACACAATTCAACCACAATGGGCTCGTCGCCTCGAGAGGCCCTGTGCCCTTGATCCCATGTGTTGTCACTTACCCAGACCCACTCTTTCCCCTGGGTTCTGAGGTGGGCGGTGCACCCCACCCTCCCCTTGGTACATGTTCTGAAGTGGAAACTTTTTATCCGGCATCTCAGTCCTGTAGGAAATGAGCTATTTTGAGATTGACATGTGTGAATAGGGAGTGTGTGTGCATGTATGTGCTTCTCTGTGTGTGCGTGTGTGTACTGTGTGTGTGCTTGTGTGTGCATGTGTGTATCTGTGGGTGTGTGTGCTTCTCTGTGTGTGCGTGTGTGTATCTGTCGGTGTGAGTGCTTCTGTGTGTGTGCGTGTATCTGTCAGTGTGTGCTTCTCTGTGTGTGCATGTATCTGTGGGTGTGTGTGCTTCTGTGTGTGCATGTGTGTATCTGTGGGTGTGAGTGCTTCTCTGTGTGTGCGTGTATCTATGGGTGTGAGTGCTTCTCTGTGTGTGCCTGTGTGTATCTGTCGGTGTGTGTGCTTCTCTGTGTGTACGTGTGTGTATCGGTGTGTGTGCTTCTCTGTGTGTGCATGTGTGTATCTGTGGGTGTGTGTGCTTCTGTGTGTGTGCGTGTGTGTATCTGTGGGTGTGAGTGCTTCTCTGTGCATGTATCTGTGGGTGTGAGTGCTTCTCTGTGTGTGCGTGTGTGTATCTGTGTGTGTGTGCTTCTCTGTGTGTGCATGTGTGTATCTGTAGGTGTGTGTGCTTCTCTGTGTGTGCATGTGTGTATCTGTGGGTGTGAGTGCTTCTCTGTGTGTGCGTGTGTGTATCTGTGGGTGTGTGTTTCTCTGTGTGTGCGTGTGTGTATCTGTGGGTGTGAGTGCTTCTCTGTGTGTGCATGTGTGTATCTGTGTGTGTGCTTCTCTGTGTGTGCGTGTGTGTATCTGTGGGTGTGAGTGTGGGTGTGTTTGGAGGGGGTCCGTGTGAAGGGTAGATGTAAGGGAGAGGCAGGAGGCAGGGAGGAAGATAGGATGGGGGCATGCTTGTGACAAATATGGGAATAGTATGCCTCTGGTCTCAGTCCTGTAAAATAAGATATTAAGTTAGGATAGTGACTGTTATTTTGACAGGAACCAAAATATCAGGGGCCCAAGGAAGATCAGAGTGTTTCTTTCCCACAATGCCTGAGCTGGTGGGTGAGCAGGAAGGCAGAGAGACCCTGTCCCGTGACATTGCCTAGACTCTTGATGTTCTGCCTTCTGCGAGGATGCTGTCCTTTTCCAGAGGCAAGGCTGGCTCACTACCACATCCCCGTCCCAGCCACTGGGAAGTGGGGGCAAAGGCAAATGGAGGGCCCACCCTTTCCTTCTCAAGAATCGCTCCCACTTCTACATGGCCTTGCTAGCTGCAAGGGAGTCTGGGAAACAGAGCTGCTAAAATCAACAAGGCAGGCACAGATCCTGAAAGAAGGAATCATCAGATTCTTGTAAGAACGTCTGGCAGTCATCAGAGACGGAATGTGATTATAGAGAGACAGGGTTATGAAGCCACCCCTCACCCCTTACGATTGCAAAAAACCCCAATGACATCCCTAATCATAAAGAATACAAAAGGCACATGATGGGAAAAATCAGATCACCAGGTAGGATTGGCCCAGTTTTAACCAATCGTGGGGTCATGACAAAGGTTTTATCTCGGGAAGGTGTGTGTGGGGTCGTTCCACCGCCAACTGGTTTTCAATGACGTAACCCGCCTTGTAGGTCTCCAGAACCCGGGCCTGGAAGTATGCCTTGCCCTTCTCCTGCCAGGAGTCAGACTCGATGTACACGTTGAATGGGTCATGGGAGTGCTCCAGCTTCTTGGAGCGGATGTAACTCAGCATGATGCCCAGGGTGAAGAAGCCGAAGAAGCCGAGCACCATGAGGATGTAGAGTGCCGCCAGCTGGCCATCATCACTGCGGGGTGACCTGCGGGCCAGGCCAGATGTGTTGCCACCCTGCGCCACCGTCCCCTGCCACAGTGCGGTCAGAAAGGGCGTCGGCACCGTCGTGTTGGACGGAATCATCCCGGGCTTCAAATTTCCACCGCTGGAGCTCGAACTGGCCGAGAAAACTTTCTGAAAGAGAAGTGCAATCTGAAATCAGAAAGTGTGTCCTGGCCCAAACCCACACAGAGGCACATGCTCTCCTGTTTTGTGAAATCTTGGGGGAGAGGGGCGCCCGGACATATACCCACTGCATCCCTGGCGTGTGCCACCTTGAATCTGCACAGCGCCTCTCTTGATTGATCAGTAAATCAATTGATTCCCTCTTCTTTCTTTCTTTCTTTTTTTTTTTTTTTTTAGGATTTTATTTCTTTAGTTTTCAGAGAGAGCACAAACGGGGGAGCAGCAGAGGCAGAGGGAGAAGCAGGCTCCCTGCTGAGCAGGGAGCCCGATGCAGGGCTCGATCCCAGGACCCTGAGATCATGACCTGAGCCGAAGGCAGACTCCCAACCCACAGAGCCACCCAGGTGCCCCGATTCCCTCTTATTTCCACTCACCACTCCCACTGCCTACCTCCATAGGCAACCCCCACAATGAGTTCCTCTAATATATACCCTGGGTTTTGTGTGTGTGTGTGTGTGTGTGTGTTACTTTATATGCTATGTGCCGAATTTTGTCCCCCAGTTCACATCTGGAAGCCCTAACCCCCAATGGGACTGCACCTTGAGATAGGGTCTTCAGGAAGTAATTAAGGTTACAGGAGGCTATAGGGTGGGGCCCTAACCTGCTAGGACCATGGCCTTATAATGAGAGAGAGACATTTCTCTCTGCTACGCAATGACACTATGAGAAGGCAACACCTGCAAGCCACGAAGAGAGCTCTCTCCAGGAATCAAACCTTCCAGAACCTTGATCTTGGACTTACAGCTCCCAAACTGTGAAAAAATAGACGTCTGTTGTGTAAGCCCCAGGCTGTGGGATTTTGTCATGGTGGCCCAAGCTAAGACGCGTTAAGTGGTGCTGGGTTACGTTTCTGCCTCTCTTTCCTATTCCTCTATCCACTGTGGTTTTATGGCCTTTGGCCTCGAAAGGACCAGTGTTCCAGCTTGTACTATGTTTGTCCCCTCCCTGTCCCCTGTCCTCTGCTGAGTGGCTGGCACGGGCCATTTCACTCTGGATGACACTGTCCCTGAAAACCCAGAGAACAGGCCTGGGAACTGTGAGAGCTGTTTCCAGGAAACTCTGGAATTCTGTCAGAGGGTTCATGAGTCCTGACACCCCACCTCATGGTCACTGATAAGCTCAACAGGTTTCATTTGTATCTTTGAGAAAATGCTGGCTTCTGCCCGCCCCCCCAGGTCCTGCTGGGAGACAAAATATCCAGAGCCAAACGGATGAGGCCACCCTTGAAACTCGACCCACAAGGGGCTACCGAGGGCTGACCAGACTCCGAGGGCCTCACTCATTTCTCAGTTGTGTGTAACATTCACTCGAGGCACCCTGGGGTGGCCGTTGAAACTAAGCGTGACAGTTTGGGACCATAGTTTCTGGCCAGAAACCCTGTGGCAAGAGAAATTCCAATGTACATGGGGCAGGGAGGTGCTCAGCCTCTCCCAGCTAGGATGGGGGCTGTGACATCACACACTGTCTTGCTAGGACAAATGTCAATCTAGAGCTACTTTTTAGAATTGGCTTAATTTTGAAACTTCTGAACGCAGCCCTGGGCAAGATGCTTGGCACCTGCCCTAGGCTCCTTTCCCTCTACTCATCCCAGGGATGTTGGTGCACCCCAGAATTCCTTCATTGGCCCTCCTTTCTTCTCACTCTGCCCTCTCCCTGTGTGGCTGCACCTGTCCCTTCAGGTTCGCCCACATGGCCATGACCCCAGGTACTCTTCTGAGCTCCAGAGCTGGGTGCCCCATGACCTGCCAAGGATTCATGTACCTTCAGCCATCCCCAGGCCCCTCCACCTCAGCCCCCACCCCTCCTGCTCCATGCCTCAGTGAGCGGAGAGGCCATGTACCCACCCACCGCAAAACCTGCGGTCCCCACTGCAAATCCCAATAGGTCAGTCCCCAGCTCAGAGGCCCCCCCAGGTTCCTCCCTACCTTCGGGGTGAAACACCCTGTCTTCAGCATGGATGTGGGCCTAGATGCAAGGGCCACCTGCCTCCCTCTCTTGCTCTACTGTTGTCGCTTGCCCAGACCCCATGCTTGCCAAGCCCTGTACACATCACCATCTCTTTCCACATCTCCAGCAGAGGCAGGCCCTCCTTCTTGGCCCACGGAACCAGGAAGTGGTACCTCCTCATGCTTTAATCCAGTTCAGCCTTCTCTGATGCTGGGGCTGGCTTAGTACCAACATGAATGCCCATGAAGTCCGCTGTGCTCCCCGCTGACTTCACCACGGCCATCATCCCGGTCCCCCACCCTGTCCCACCTCAGTTTCCCTAGCCTGGCGCCTGGCACACAGCAGCTCAGGAGCCGTCCAGGAACTTCTTAATACTTCTTGACGGTGTAATACCTGATTCTTCACAACCCGAGTACCTAATTAACAGAGGCCCCCACTGTCTCCCTCTGACAGCCACAGGCTCAGGGAGCAGGAGTGGAGAAGGGGAAAGCGATCGGTCGTTGGAATTACACCTCCACTCCAGGTTTGGAGTCTGGCCCTGCTGGCCTCTGGTCAGGTTCCTTAGGCTTGTTCAGTCTTTTACCTTTTGGGAACAGGGAGAAATATCACTGACATCTGCAGCTGTTGGACCACTGACCCAGCGTGCAGAGGGGTTGACATAACATATGACATGTAGTGGTGTGCACTTAGGGTGCCGAGTGTGAGTGGATTGGTTTTTCCAGCTCATTAAGAAATATTAGCTTGGGGGCTCAGTCAATTAAGCGTCTGACTCTTGGTTTTGACTCTGGGTCATGATCTCAGGGTCGTGGGATCGAGCCCTGTGTTCTCTCTCTGCGACTCCCTCTGCTTGTGCACACACGCTCTCTGCTCTCTCTCCCAATGAATAAATAAACTCTTTAAAAAAAAAAAAAAAGAAAGAAAGGAAAAATAAAAGCAGTCCAGCCCAGAGATTTGGAGGTTTGGGGTTTTAGGTCTGGCTCTTCCATGGCTGACCACTGTGGCTCTCTTTACCTCGTGATACCTCGTGCCTGCTCATGAATAAGAAACAAATGTGTTTAATGGGTTTTCCTGACATCTCTGGGGCTTTTGAGTTTGTGCCCTGAGATCTGTTAGAATGGGTTAAGCCGCACAGGCTCAAGAGACTCCCAGGTACTGATTCTTCTACAAAACCAGCATTTTGCCCCATTCTAATGGTTTGGTAACTTTTTTTTTTTTTTTTTTTGTCTTTGAAACTTAGACCCAGAGCTGCTAGTCTGCTGGAAATCACTCAAGACAAGGTTGTGGGCAGCTGAGCTTTCCAAACACGATGCCTGACATTTTCTTTTTAAATGACTTCAAACCACTTATGAATGCATAGAAACTTGCCCCAGAAAATACAGAGCCCTTGAGCAGATAATATAATTTTTTTCTAAAAACGCAGAATGACCGCAAGCACGGAATCCTGCTACCAATTACTGTTAGAGCATTCTTGTCGCTCCATGACCACATGACACTAGAATTATGGTAGACAACGGGGGCGCCTGGGTGGCTCAGTTGGTTAAACACCTTTGGCTCAGGTCATGATCTCAGGGTCCTGGGATCGAGCCCCATGTCAGGCTCCCCGCTCAGCAAGGAGTCTGCTTCTCCCTCTCCGTCTGCCACTCCCCTGCTTGTGCTCTCTCTCTCAAATTAAATGAAAATCTTTAAAAAAATAGAATTATGGTAGGCAACCTCCAGAGGTTAATTGGTTTAGAGCTAATAGCTCCACACAGCAAGTTAACTTGAGTAACTTCTGCAACTAATTCACTTGGGTGGGATCATGGAGAAGACCTGTTACTTAAAACCAGACGGACTTTACTACGGCCAGAGGAAGCAACCAGAAACATTTGCTTTAAAAAACCTGCCAGGCCAACCATCCTCAGCCTTGCTTAAAGTAGTGGTGCTCGGGCGCCTGGGTGGCTCAGTTGGTTAAGCGACTGCCTTCGGCTCAGGTCATGATCCCGGAGTCCCGGGATCGAGTCCCACATCGGGCTCCCTGCTCAGTAAGGGAGCCTG